GTTGGCTGAAAGAACCATTGCTGAGCGGATGAGAAATCAGTCGGGCTACCGCACATCCCACATTTTCCAGCGTCCCTTAATTAGCGTCTGCGCTTAAAAGGCCTGACGGTTCCAATATCACAGCCACTTTTAATATCTCTGGCCCAGTCGCTCATGTAATTATTGGACAGGGGTTGAGTAAGGATACAGTACTTTAGCCATTTTTATAACACAGTTATTCTGTTTCGTTTTATGTTTCTCTGAGAGGTTTCCACTCCGGAGAATGAATAAAGCGCTGTGTAAAATGGAAGCTGATTAATACGCTTATTGAAACATTAAAAGCCTTACAGCCTTGTAAACCCGCCTTGCAAACAGCTTTATTGGCTTAAGATATTGCATTTTTACTTGTTTTGGTCTTGTATTTATAATTTTTTTGGGGTGCACTCAGTATATTGAACGGCGCACTACTATAACCCGAGGCCATTTTATAAGCACTTCAATTTTACTATGATCATTTTCCTCCACCACAATAAAAAGGCTACAAAAACGAAGTCCAGGGGTGCAAAATCTACATGTTAATTCTTAATTTATAGCATGATTTGTCACAGCGTTTTACTGGGATGGAGTGGTATGGCCGTGGCCTCCATTGATTCGAGCAGGCATTAAAAGATTAAAAGGTTTATCATCTGTCAGTGTTGTTGACGGCAGTCTCGAGTCATTAGCGCCATTAGCATTAAGCCTAACCCATCAATAACAGGCCGGGTGAGTGATCTGGTTCCCCGAGAGAGTGATCTCGGGGCGGGGGCAGCGCTTCCAGCTTAGCCCCTTGCTCGTCTGGAGTCCCTGATCTGCTTGGGTAAGTTTGTCCAGGACGATGAGTCAGCTTCACGGGGAGAAATAAAAACAGAGAGTTGAGCTAGAGAGACCTTACTGTGTCCGGAGCTTAGACTTCAGAATAATGAGTCAGGATATTATGTGGCGAACAGTCTATTGTTTGAGACTTTGATATACTGTACCAATTATTACAGCATTGACACTCATAACTATAAAGTTATGAAGGATATAAAAGCTGTGTATATTGGTAAATACAATTAACAATGAAAAAAATATCAGCAATTTTTTTTTCTAGACATACGTTTATGTTGGATTGAGAAAGTCTGGTTTGTAAGTAATTTTAAAAGCTTTTTAGACAGATAAATATTTAGTTGAAAACAAGTTTTAGCACATTTTTAGAATTACCATATTTAATGATTTAAGAAACCCTTTAAGAGATGGTTCACCCAGAGATAAAAAAATATTTATATCATTTATTTTATACATCATTTATTCTTTCTCATGTGCTTTTTAACCTTTAAAAAAGTTTTTTTTCTAATGAAGATATTTGAAAAATATGGTTGCTGGTACCTATTATTGACTTCGATGATAATTTTGGGTGGGAATTCCAACTATTTTACACATTAAAAATGAAACACCTGAATTTGCATAAAACTCTGGACGAAATATGGATAGCGAGGTGACGCAATGATGTTAACTGAATTATTTGCTTTAACATGTAAAACAGGATCATGAAAGAAACACTTAAAAAGCAACTCATGTAAAGACCTTAATCATATTATTGTCTTATTCAGATTAAGGCAAATAATTCAATTACTGATGTTTATGTAAACGTAGTTATTGTGTCCCAGCATTTTCCACCAAGGCAACCCGGGGAGCTTAAATATAATTGGCTAAATTGGCAGTGAGCAGGTTAAAAGAACCAAAACAAAGAAAAGTTTGGCAAGTAACACATTTTCAAAGTAGAATAACTGACTTCAGACTTGTTTTTCAGATAAATATGTTCTCTTAGCATGTTTCTTAAATATCTGCACACATTTTATGGTATTTTTTGCTTTAGAAGAGTCAGAAGATTTTTTTTTTTTTTTTACGTTTTAGCACATTGAATGCTAGCATAAAAATTTGACACGCACCTAAAGCATGCAGCCAGATATTTGTCTCCCAGACAGCAGCATGCAAACCTGCATTCGCTTGAATGGTCTTTTAAATAGTCAGATACACACAATATTGTCAAAATTTCCCTGGATTACTCATGCAAACACAGCTATTTATGTGTTAGGAGAATGTAACCAGAAAATGGGTTGTGTCAGTTGCTATATTATCATGTTGGTACATTAGGTCTTGAAGTGACAGTAGTCTAATGCATCCGCTGCCTTCTGTGTGATTAATTAATCAAACAGAAGACAAAGAGAAAATCCCCTGCGGCTCTTGACTGAATAACTTGTTTATCATTAAGAATCAATTCACGTTTATTATATACAGTGACGACTTTACTTTTGAATAATTTCTGTTAAATGTACTGTAAAAAAACGTTTTTTAATTTGTATTCCCTTGTATTTGTTCCATTTTTTGCAGCTTATTTGCATTTATTATTAATAACAAACACTAAAACGACTAAACTGTAATATGTACATCACCTGTTTTAAATAGCATGAACAGCTAACCAATGTTGGATACATTAGTGTTTACATGTTGACAGTCATTTTGCGTAGCAGTGTGAGAGAGTGTGTGGTGTGTCTGTATCAGTATCTCGGCATCAGTATGCGTTCACTCGGCTGTCATCGTGGTGGGTTTCTTTACAGTAACGGTGGGGAATGAGTTGTGTCAGAGTGTCGATTTGAGTGCAGTTGACACCCACCGCACTTTCTCCAGAGCTTCCCACTGACGATCTCATCCCAGTGCATGTCTATCACTGTGAGTGTTGCTGTCAGTCAGTGTCTCTGCTGTGAATGGCCTGTAGACATATGAAAGGAAAGTACTGTACTATTTGCTAGCTTCAGAACTGACCACAAGCAATTCACACTAGGTCTTTGTTAGACCATGAGGTCCACACTCATGAGTCTGAATGCACACTAACTGGAACAGTTTCCAACATTGTAAAAAATGCAGGGATTCACACAATTCCTTCATGGTGTTCCAACACAAATCAATTAAGTTTGTTTTTACAAATGTAAGTAGATTGAACATAAAACCATTAAGTTGTCCTAAAAAACCCTTAACAAATTAGGTTGATTCTGCCTTTTTTTAAATAAGTAGTTTGAACAAGCAGTAAAAATACTATTGTAAGTAGTTTGGGTATGTTAGGCTTACGTTAGGGCTATGTAGAGTGACACTACAGCAATAAAGATCAGTCAAACGACAAAGCTGGTTATAAAATGTCACACATTTGGCTGACATATCTGTGGGAACAGTCTAATGTTTAAGAGACATGCACATAAGAAAATGGGCAAGCAGATGCTTTGTGTATAGATTGAATCAATTTGTTTTAATTGCATAATAAATCTTTTAATTTGCAAAGTGTGTTTTCAAAAACAAAGCTCTACTGAAATGTAGAAATACCACATAATATTTTGATTAATAAACTGATAATTATTTTTATGCTACGCCTGATAAGTAGTAGCAATCTATTCTATATGACTATAGATATCCCTTTAGCCAATAATTAATAACTGAAAAGTATGAATAAAGGATACACTGAAAGTCATGACTTTTTGGTGTAGTAAACTCTAATAAATTTACTCTCAAATTTTTTAAATTTTAATATTATATGTCAAGGATAACTAGAATTTAATACGAAAACTATTTTGTATTTACACATTTACTTGATTCCAAAAATGTGTGGAAAGAGTTAAATATTAATATTCATTTACTTGTAATATTTAAATATTTTCTAATGGTTGCAAATCTAGTAATATATACATTTTAATTATGGATATATAGTAATTGATGTAATTTTTATTTGGAAAATGAAAGCAGTTTAATCTAGGGTTTAGCTTAGATTAGAGAGTTTTGAGTAAGCTTTTTGGTTTTGAGGTTACCACCTTGCAGAAGAGTAGCAGTCATACTTTGGGTCTTTTTTATTATCGACATTAATGCTCAAAGAGCAACAGCTGTGCTAACACTATAGCTCTGAGATCAGTAAGCATTTTTAAAGTCAATTTGCTATTAGGTTCAATTTTATTAAAATAAAGTGAAATAACATTTAAAATCAGTGGAAATATGTGTCTTAATTCAATTAAGTTACCAATTTGTAACTAATAAGATTTACTTAAATTGTTAAAAGCAATGTTCCTTTTGCTAAAACAAGAACTTGACATTAATTCATTCATGTAAATAAATATAAACTCAAAACGAGAGATAATTAATTATTCATTCATTTTCTTTCGGCTTAATCCCTTATTTATCAGGGGTCACAACAGGGGAATAAACCGCCAACTATTCTGGCATATGTTTTACACAGCGGATGCCCTTCCAGCCACAACACAGTACTGAAACACCCATACACTCCCACACTCATACACTAAGAACAATTTACTCAATTTAACTCAAACCAGTGACGTTTTTGCTGTAAGCCGACAGTCCCGCGCCCAGATAATCATTTATTTTTACTTAAATTATTAAGGAGTGTTAGGTTAAACATTAAGTAGATTTTACGCGTTATTGATAAGTTAATTGTACTTGATATAATATTTTTGCTAATGCAAATCGTTACAAACATTTGATCAAGCTAATCGTGACTTATTTTTTTTAGTCTAGATATTAATTTAGAGATTGTAATAAAAATATTTAAAAGTACTACAAAATTGAATATGAATAAAAACATCAGCTAAATGCTAAAAGACAGAAAGGTTTTAACTCATAATGGCAGCTGAAAGATTTACCAACGTTGTCCAAATATTTAACAAACAAAACTACAAGTTGCATTGAACTTATTTATGCTGATGAAATGTATTTCTGCAGAAGTCTGAGAGGCAGATTCAGTGCAGGCCCAAACATTATTTTAACTAAATACTACCCTAAGCTCTTGTGAATTTGTAAAACAAGCACAACGTAACATGTCAGCACATAAGGCCAACAGATGAAAGACAGTGGATTTGTAGTAGATAAGTGGGTCAGTTTATTGTCAATAACCGTAGGTCAGCTATTTTGGCTCTTTAGCTGATTTGTCAGTGCCAGAGGGTCAAGTATTTTGGCTTTACAGCTCGTCGTGAATTGCAGGGCCATCTGTGTGGTCCAGAGCACCTATCATGAGCAATGCCCCAGTGCTGTTGTCCCTGACTAGTATAATGAAGGAATGATCTGCATAGAAGATTTTAGGCTTCTTCACATCCTCGTCCTCAAGTACGTCATCCTTGCTGCCAGACTCGGGGGCCAGTTCAAGGGTCGTCCAATGCAGCACTGCTCCCAGGTGAAGCTTTCCCCGTCCTAGGCTTGACAAAGTAGAGAAATCAGCCGATGTCTCATTCCATGCATCTACCAGACCCATTGCGGCTAGCTGTTTCTGAGTGAGAGGAAATAGAAGAAAAGAAGAAAAGAATTTGATGGATTTTATTTTTAAAATGTCTCAGATTCACAAGACAAACGAACATGCTCCAAATGACTAAAGGTTTAGATCAAGTATGCATACAAAAACAAAGAATAGCTCAAATATGAGCCAATTGATAGTTTTCAGTTACATTTAATGTGCAGAGGCTGGTGGATAATAAATTCATGGTCCGTAATTGCAGCTAAACTGTGATCTCCATATAAATGCAGCACAGAACAATCATATTTGTCATCTGTTACAAGCTACGACTATTTGGATACATCGACAAAACAGAGATATGATCACAAACTGTACCTTTTGTGCACTTGTGATCTATATAATGCACCTAGAATCTATTTTTCAGTGATTTAAAACTCCTCATGCACTGTCAGATCTACAAATAGGCTTATTCCTTAGTGTTTCAGTCATTATTGATGGCAGTATAGCTTGTGTCTGTTATATTTGGTGTCAGATTCTATTGCTTAGATTAATATTTGCTGGAAGGACAAATCTATTCATTCACTTCTGCTATTTATACTTTGACTGCATTTCCATAAATACTTTAAAGGTGCTTTATGTAAGTTTTTGACTCTTCTAAAGCATACAAATATAATAAAATGTTTGCAGATTTTTAAGAAACATGCTAAGTGAACATTTTTGTTTATTTGAAAAACAATGCTGACGTCAGATAATCTGCTTTGAAAATGTGCATTACGTGCTGGAATGTCTGTCTTCGTTTTGGTCATTTAATCACCCACTGCCAGTTCAGTCAATTATATTTCAGTGCCCCAGGTTGCCTTGGTGGAGACCTGTGCATTTCATTTATTCAGTCATGAAAGCTCTCAAAGTGTGCGTCCGTGACTGAAATGCAAAAAGTGGACAGTAGCTGACTCCGAAATAAGACGCAGATACAGAGTTCCACATGAGGTGGTTATTAATTAGCAAATAATATAAATATTATGAACGTAAACATTAGGCGAGCAGGTTACATTGTAACTCCGTGTGCAAACAACATGCAACAGTACAAGACGAGAATTGCAGTGATAAGGAATTAGGCTGTTTGGACCAAACAAAACACAACAGAAATTTAAATACAGCCATTCAGAAGCACAGAATAGTGCACTTTCTCCACTCCAACTAAACGGTAAGGTTCATAATCTATTTAGTACATATTAAACCTCTTTTAACATTATTAAATGCACATGCTGAATCACTGATATGTGTTGGTTTACACTGAGTCACAGTTCTAAAGTTCAATTTCAAATGGTTTATTTTATTTTCATGATCTGAGGTGAACTATCTGCTGCTGCTTTCAGTAGTATGGCAATAAATGTCATGTAAAATGGCATTCAAACCCACATTATTAGCATTTAATACTGAATAAAGCACATGAGGTGTACCTGAGGTGATAATTGTTGTTGTTCAGCTGCAAGCTTTTTATAAAATATAAATTACAAGTGTTGGTTAGGACAAAAACTCATTTTAATATGGAAAATATTCCTGCTATCGCTTGCTATTGCTTTTATACAAGAACGCAGTTTAAATCAGCTTGATAGTTAGGCACACTTCTGTGGATGTCGTCAATCTGGAAACCTGCACTTGTGTATGTAGTACCAGGCATAGTTCAACCACTGGGTGTTAAACGTACATACTGCACCTTTAATTGCACTTTACCTGCAAATAAAAAAAGAAACTGTATAAAAAACAAACAAACAAACAAACGTATTGACAGATATAGGTACTGTAGCTTGTTATGCGTCAATGATGCTACCATTGAGCACAAATCCATACATTTCTCCTTTCTGTTAGTTCTTTTTCTGAAGGAATTCTGCAGAAGAATAGCCCAGGCATTTCTCACATCAGTTAGTAATGATATATCGTATTGCACAAATATTTTTTTTTTTTTTTTGGAAAAAAAAAGTAACTCAGCCCATGACTAGGTAGACATTAGGAGATAGTAATGTTTCGCCCACCAGGAGGGCGCTCCCCAAATTGGGCGTCGACACCTGAAAACTATCAGTAGAACCCTTACAAGAATCAACCATCCATGGACTTTTCAGTGAAAACACAAACACACACACACCTACACACAAACCAAACACAAACACACACCATTCCTCTTTAGACAGGTAGAGTAGACAAATGAAAGCACAACATAAAGAGTGTCACTGTAAATCAATAGTGATTCAGAAAATCTGGTTGTCTCCCCTCTTCATTGTCTTGGCTTTATTTTAAAGGCATGACAGATGCCCTTGTTGGCAGTGCGGGCGGTACAAGGCATGCGACAGGAGCTGAAGACGGTGGCCGAGGGAGAGCTGCTTATGAATAATTTAAAAAAAGATCTCTCTGACCTCGGCCCGCTTTTGTTTTCCTTTCAGATATGAATTTGGCAGAAAGATGCTCTCTGACAGGTAGTTTATATTCCCCCTGGATGAGATCCTGGATAAACGACAGTTACCCAAATCGGAGAGGGAGAGAGAACGCGAGAGAGATGGTGGAATGAGGAAGAGGAGATAATAAGTGAACTGCTCCTGGAAGATTGAGAGACACCCAACGTATTTGTGAAAGCCGAAACCGAATGGCAAGTGCTTTAACTGAATGATTAAGCACTCTCACCTAAATGACTATTGTAATTAAAACAAAGCGTATGCACAGTCTATCTTGTTTTGAAAATGATGCAAGCTCACTGGGAATAGCTAGGTTGGCATGCTATCTGGGTTTGAGTAAAATTCTAGCCAACTGACTGTAGAAATGACTACAAATCATTATTTCAATTCAAACTTATTCCTCTTTACCTGACAGGACATTCAAATTAAAGGTCTTCAGATTTTTTTGTTCCAGACGTCAATTCTTATACCTGGGCTCAGGGTATTGTCCTATATTGAGTACTTATCCAATACCTGGATGTGTATTTGTATAGCAATTAGCCTTGTGTGAATTGATCAAATTATTTTATGGTGTGTTTCAGACTTATTCCCTAATGAAACATAAACAAATACATTGAGAGAACTAGAGTGTTTTTATTATCAGACATATATTTAAAAATAAAAATTATTTACTGTTCTACAATGAAAAAGAACTTCAAATGCAACCATAAATCTAACGGTGTAAACTGAAAAAAGGTCGTTGTACAGTCTAATTGTATAAAAATTGCATCAAATGAACCTAGGAATCCAGAAACTATTTTTAAACAAAAGTATAAAAAAACATTCAACAGCAACTTATGCTAAAAATGTTGATAATAAAACTGATTGTTCGTACAACATACATCAAGTTTACATGAAATGTGTTCATGCATTTTCTTAGATTACTTAGGGAGCGATTTTTCAGAAATTATTTTTTTGACAGTGGCTGGTAATCCAAAATAATGAACATATACATACATACATACATACATACATACATACATACATGATGATTAGACATTTAAAAAAGGGAGCGATTGGTCCGTGTTTTAAATTTCTGCCCAGAGAGGTCATGTTTTGATCCTCAGTTGGTCTCACGCAATCATGTGATGCGATTCCGCAGATCAGAGTTCACCAAGCTTGAACTTTCCAACAGAGCGAAATGCAAAACTTGTTGCACGAGCTTGTGTTTCCGGTCTGACGCATTCACGTGCGTATGAATGAAAGTCTATGGGGAGAAAAGTGCAGTGTGACCGCAGCTTCAGAGTCGTGGTAGCTTTTGGCAACACAGCACTAATTCTTGCTTTTGCATTCTCTGCAAAAATATGCATTTAACTCACTATAAGAAACTTTACAAGTTAGGGATGCTCAAAATAATCGATTAACCGTTAACCGAAAGGGTGCGTTTGTGACCGATTAATGTTATCAGTTAAACGATTAAAATTATTATTTTATATATTTTTAGTTTGGCTGCATAAGGGGCCGATTGAATGCGCCTTTGCGTTAAGAGGGGCATCTTTTGCACGCAGCTCATCCCAGAGCAGCAGTTTGTGTTGTCAAGACAACTACAGAGAACTATTAAAGAGCTTGGTTTCCGCTACATTCATTCTTCCATGGCGGGGAACAAAATGCATCCCGCCACGGCTACATACCCATTCAAAACATTCAGTTATTGTTGTTGTTGTTTTTAATAGCGGATTATAATTGCACCAAAACGTATTAAAAGGTAAGTGGATAATAACAGCGCAAACTTTTTTGTAACCGTATAGTGCTGTGCGCTGTGTGTTTAATCCTTTGGGGTTACGTGCTGACTGACTGACTGACTGACTGACAGGTGCGTGATGCGTGAGCCCAGCAAACACGCAGAAGCTTTCAGTTAAGATGAACAGTTTCTATAGTTATACTTTATTTAAAGATAAAGTATGACTCTGTATATCTCTGTAATCACTCTATCTAGTTGGAGTTTATAGCCGTTTCGCTTTACTTCAGGACGCATTAATGCCGCTCTGAAGGTCTAATCGCTGTTTTAAGTTATCCAGAGCTGGATGAATGTACAAATCCTGAATATCACAATATTATTAAATATTACAATTGTAACAACACAGACAGCAACACTTTTGCACAATCGATACCCAGCTGATTCAGTCGTTTCATAAGAGGACCGCGCTTTCTTCTCTTCTTTTGTCTTTGTCAACATAAAGGCAGTGAGGTGCGCCTCGCGTTTTTGGAATGAAAAAAAGCACGTTAGCTGTGGTCGGCCACTTTTTTAACTGCAAGCCATACTTAACTTTGCGGGACGATAACATATAACCCGTGCCTACAGACACATTTGCCAAAGAAGCAAAATGGAAGAAGAATATTGCTGTTTGAAACAGACGTGTTGATGCCAAAAAAAGCGCTGATGTTGACCTGGATCTGCGTCATAAACGCAAAAAATAGGCTTTACCTTTTATTTTACAGCTTATAAAGCATGTATGTACATTAATGCAATATCATATTTAAACAACAAAACTGTTTACAAAAAGTCAACATATGTGCGCTTGTTGTTGTCTTTTCTCTGCAGCGCGCGCA